CTTGTGCAGCCTGGAATAATAGCTATAATAATCTTAATAGATTCCCTTTAACAAAGAAATAAAAAGAACATTGAACACGCATTTCATAATGTGAAGTTTGAAATGGGAAAAGCACAGAAATAGTTTTCTGTCACAGTGTGTGGCAGAATGCTGTAAACTATATGAAATAGATGGATAATTACTGTGTACTACAGATGAATAACCTCTAATGAAGGGACTGTAGGTAATATTTCTATTTGGCTGACTGGATGAATAGGGTGGTAGAAATCTAGTTGCCAGATATAATTTTACCTGACACTTGTATTTTGTAATAAAAGCACCATTGTGGAGACCAGTTCCCTGTCTGCCAGCTAGATTTTTTTAAAGTTAAATTGAAGTGACTGACTCTACTGCAGATGGCTGCAGGCTCTATTTCTACTTCCTGCTAGAGGACTGAGAAGCATACACTACCACAACCTGCAAAGCAGCAGATTGATTACACTGGCAAATCAGTTGCTAGATTTCTGTTTGTACCTGAACTATTCTTGTTGAAGCCTCTTGAAGGAATTCATTTGAAATCCAGCTTTGTTTAATGCTGAAGTTTATCTAGCTGAAATCTCTGGAAAGAGTAACATTTCTTAACTTTTAATATTTAAATCAGTCAATCACCTATTTCCCCACTGCATTTTTGACCTGGAGATCAAAGAACAGCAGCTTACAAATAACAGCAAGTAACCTACATCTCCAGTAATGTGAAGTGAAGTAAGGCAAGTGCTCATTAGGCCTATTACCATTATTGACAATGAATTCTAATGCGTCTATGAGCAATGGTTTTAATTATAAGACAGTGTAGATTTCTTTCTAATTTTGGCTCCAAGTGTAATGTTCTCACTTATTAACTCTAGTATTGATCCAAAGCCCATTGCAGTATTTTCGCAGGAGTGATATATATCTGATATCAACTGCCATGGGTCCATTGACTTCCATGAAGTCATGATGACTCATCCAGCAGATGGGATCACTGACTTTCATGGGCATTAAATGAGGGCTAGGTTCTGCGACTGACAGTAAGCAAATGGCATCACATGGGCAATACTAATTACAAGATCAAAGTCAGGTACTTAATCATTCAAAATATTCAGTCATTTCTTTCTCTAGCACAACTGTTCCAGATCTCAAATGCACTTTTTAATGACCTCTTCACATCAAAATAGATCTGCAAATGTAAACTATGCAAAATGCCCAACTCTATCCCTAAATTCAAGATAACTGTGTTACCTAGCAGGTGATCTGATCTATAGGTATTGCTGTGCAAAATAGTTTTTCTTTGCAGCTCTTTCTTCTGCAATGCATTACTCAATTATATATTATGTTTTTATTATGCTATGGAGGAATAATTATTAAAAAACAATAATTCTTAGCATATTATCAATGTTCTGGTCGTATTTACTTGGCTCACAATTGTGCCAGTACTTCCATTAGCAATTATAGCTTACCTTGTTCTTTTATTGCTACCAGAGGTGAATGACTAAGTAATGATAAAGACTTACTTCACCTCAGCTTCCTAAAAAAGTCAAAGATTAAGTGTGGATGCTTCTTCAGCTTCAGGTTCTAACCTATAAGTTTAAATATTAACAGTTTATGTTTTACCATAGCCTGCATATCATTGTGTGTCACTCAATCAGAAATCCCAGGCAACTCCAAATGAATTCTCCTACAGTATCTTTGGCCTGATAGAAAATAAGCTTTATTGAAAATCTTACTGTTACACTAATCAGCCAGACTTCTAGATCAAAGATCCTCAAATAAATTAAAAGAAATACCTCTGGCTACTGGAATACTTCTTTAGTGCTTGCACCTAGTATGGTCATTTACATCTGAGTTAAAAGGGAATAAAGTGCTGCTAAATTAGTAACATTTATATACAGATATAGTATTTTATTCATATCTTGCTAATAGTATAAATTAATACTATGAATGCTTTCCAAGAGACTGTACGCATTTAAAAACCGCACCCACTGTCTGACAGTGACCAATGAATCATTAGGATTATGGAATAAATGTACCATGTCCATGCCTTATATTTTTTAGGAAAAAAAAAACAGTGGAAAAATATAGCTGTTACACATACAAATATAAAGCGATAGAGGCTGACATTTCCAAAATGTTAAAAAAGGACGAGGAAATTCTTATCTGAATGATAGCTACTGATGTTACATTTGAGAATAACATGTCTTTTCCTTGGAGATCAAACTGAAATGTATCCACAACCCCCCCATGAAGTTCATAAGTAACTTTATATTGGCAAGGTGTACGCTTTGGAAATTTCTTATGTATAATGTAGCTCCTTCTCTTCAGGCTATGATGTCTCCTTATCCTTGATATAGTATAGCTGTGGAGGCTGATATATAATGGAGATATGATGTCTACCTCTTCCTTTGCCTCTTTTTTGCTTTATCATCAGAGGTACTACATGGGAAAAATCCCTTTTACCAAGAGAATCTGGTTATATAGCACATGTGGTTGCTTTCTCGCATCCTGAGAACAGTAGTACTTCTCTCCCAAGAGAAGTAACACACTTTCTAGATCTTGGAAAATAACGTGCCTGCATTCAATAAATGGTATGGATTTTAAAGAAAAGATCTAGAGAGAAATTACACTTTGCTTTAAAAAAATTAAAAAAAAAAAGTGGCCTAAGGAAAATTACCAGATGCAATAAACTTAATTAAAATAACGTATTTATTAGACTCTTGCTCTCATACAAAGATCTTGCACAAAATTAAATTTGGATTATATACGGACGGGCTGCTGTGGGATAAATAGCACAAAATTCCACTACAGATTTTCCCCAAATGTCCATTTCCACAGGAAGACAGAGAATACTGAGTGAGTGGTAGAAGACATATCATTAATGATAGAGAGACAACAAATAAAGATAAAAAGATACAGAGATGCTACTATATTGCCTGGCATTTTAAGCATCAACAGCAGCAGAAAATGCAAAGGGATCAGTAAGGATTAGCAACAGGGGAGCTCAAGTCAGTAGCTCTGGGAGAAAATGCCACCCGAAACACAGAGAGGAGACACTTAGGAACTGTAATGTCAGGAAAATCCTTGGAGCAATAGAGGCAATCAAAGTAGGTATAGGTCCAAGGGCTAGTGACCCATTAAGCTCAGAAATATTACCAGAACGTATGAAGTTAACATTTCCTTTCTTTGGGGTGTTCTGTATCTATTATAATATATACAGATTTACAGTATCTGCAATACCAGGTGTAACTCTGGGCACCTTATTAACACAAAATACAGATAAACACAATAATGATGGGTGATGAACAACAGTAATAGTGAAGGACTAGTTTACGAGAAAGGCTAAGTACTACAGCTTGGCTAAATGGCCACTAACAGTAAACACGCTAGCAGCCTATTTCTGAAGTGTGCAGTCAACCAAGAGCCCGGTCAAATTTCATAGCGTAATAAAAAGAGGTGTAAAAAAGAGCAGAGGGATGAAATTATGAAAGGGAAAATTTAGGCTGAATATCAAAGAAGAGATTTATTGGGAATAATCTCACAAAAAATGCAGTAGGAGCTCTATAGCTGGGCAAATTTAAATGAAAGTGGGCAAAATGCTAGTGCATATACAACAGAGAAAAATCTGGCAAAGAAATAGATTGAATAGCTTAAGAGGTAGATAACTCATGTTTAGATTCTAAATTACACTGGCATAAATAAGTGACTGTTCTGTGCCACTCTGCAGAACTATATATGTAAAACAAACTGATCAGAATCTATTCGCAGAATCTATTACTTAAACTAAAGTGGTTTTGCTAAAGAGTTTAATGGTAATCTATCACCTTTTGAATTTTTCTTGTCATACAAACAACTCTTTACGTTACTGCAGCAGAAAATCAACACCGAAAATCTCTGTGCATGGAATATCCTCACCTTTCTACAGAGGCCACAATTCCTTGTGTAGTTTTGAGGAAATAGATTACCTCAACTGTAAGAAATTTAACCTAGGCTTTATGAAAATCTGCCGTACTGTGACTATTGAAATGAAGTATTCTTTATCACTTTTTCACAACAGTCACAGCACTGGCATGTGCAATGTGTATGATTTTTCAGTCATAGAGATGTATTTTGCAAAGAAGAAATATGGTATTGGAAGAGGACTAGCTGAGCCGTCACGTCCCGCTCACTTCCCATGATTGCAAACTATAAAACAGACATTTTGTTCAGGAAATGCACAAAACATTTGCTCCAGACTCTGCACTAACCAATCACAAAACACTTCCAAAATTCGGTGATAGACTTTTGGTCTAGTAAGGAAAAGAAAGGTACTGGGGCAGAGAAAGGAGACCTGGGCCATTGCTGGTTTCTGTGGTCTCTGCTGCAGCAGAGCTTCCCAGACACTCAGGTCAAGAGAGTACAAATTAGTTCGGTTTGCAGGGGCTAGCTCTAAGCTTTCACTGGAAACAAAGATGGCAGATATCCATGATTAGGACTGGAATATGATTGCTTAGATAGCAATACTAATCTCTCTCTCTCTTTTCATGTTTTACCTAGACAGTGCAGCACCCTCATGTTATAGACAGAAAGCTGAAATATCCAAATTCACACACAGCCATTTGAAAGCATTGCCAGGAGTAGACTTAGGTCTCTTGGATCAGATTTGCAACTGTTGTAAATTGACGTAGCCCCACAGAGACAGAAGAGATGTAATAGAGATGCAATAATTTGTATCAAGTGAGGATCAGCTTCGGGTCTCACGTTCCATGCCCTGTTCACTAGCACATGTTGCCTCACTTAACGACTGCTCTCCTACTCTCTGCAGTATGTGTAGTCTCCAGGGAAGCAAGTGAAAAACATATGCCGGTGCTGCCTGTGCTATATTTGTTTTCTGGTCAGAGAACTGTAATCTTCAGGGCTGCCAAGGCTTATATAACGTCAAAATTCATGACAAGTCCCTCCTGCTCCCCCTTCTCCCCCATTTCACTCTCCCTATTCCTTTACTTGAAAGGGCAAATTTGAAAGGGCATTTTTTTTTCTTTCTTTTTCATTTTATTCCTTTCAGCATGCTTTCTGTTACAAATACATCTGGAGTAGTTACATGGACACAGTGCCAGTAACATGCCCTATGTGGCTGCAGAATTAAGGAAGAAACATCTGGAATCAACTTCTATTTCCTTCAGTACTTCCAGAAATAACCATGGACCTATATGACGGCCAGAATGGTAAGGTACGTCTGCTAATTTACAGGATTGTTGTAAACCTTCAAGATAGATATTTCTTTTGAAAACATCCTATTTTCCCCGTGTTATGAACGTTAAAACCTTTGTTACTTATGAAAGTAGTTGTTAATTAGGTCTGAAAAATACTTAGCAACTTGTCTATGACTTTTTTTGACTGATGCTTGAAGTGATACAGATAACCCTGTTTTTCTTGCTGCAGGCAATTTATGGCACGAGGCTTTTCGGGCTCTTCAGCAGTGTCTCGGTAGCAAACACAGTTTATATCTTATATTTATTTTACCTTCTGACAACAAAAAATCTTCCTAGAGACATTTATTTTTAAGTCCCAGAGCCTCCCTTAATAAGACATAAAAAGATGTGCAAAGTCATATTTTTAGAATAAAACGCTTAATGCCTTGTTTAGGCAATACTGGGTCCTTAATCTTTGAAAAAGAAGCACAAATAATGACTGCTGTCATGATGATACGTTATCATAATTTTTGAGTATTATTCCACAGTATAAATGTTGTTGCTTGTAAGTTTTCATGAGATTAATCACAATAAATCTGCATAATGATACAGAAGAGGGTGGACAAAACTGTATCTCCCAGCTAGTCACCTGTAGACGCATGGTTTGATTTTGCTAGGCTTCTTGACATTGAAATACAGTCTGCATACACACCCCAGGGAGTGATCCGTATCAAGTATTTTTATGTTAATAAGACAGAAATATTTCAAATTAGAAGTATCAGACTTTTCTTCCTCGTTGCTATCACTACTTTCACATTATAGTTATCTGCAGCAAACCTTAAAATAAATTGTGCTGCTGTAGAAAAACAATTTATCCAGCAATAATGTCCCATCAAACACAATTGGTTGACAGCTCTTGAGCTATTATTTCAAGGACAACAAGTTGCCTGTGAATGGCATCCTGCCAGGTACTGTCTGAATGAGAACGAAAACTACAAATTAGTATACTGATTTCTTTATTGTTCTGTTCTGACCCGGTTAGGAATAAACGTAGAGAGCGGGTATAAAAGGACCGAGAGACTCCAGGAGTGAGCATGGGATGTGACTCAGAGGAAACCTGGCTGGGGATAAGAAAATGGGACATGGAGCCATTCAGTCTGATTATTTGGGCCTGCAGTCACCAACATAAGTGCTAAGGGATGGCCTTTCCCTGACTTATGTGAAAGAAATGGATGGACTTGGTAACCTTCTATTGTACAGGTAATTCTCTGGATCCTTAAAAGCAGTTGTGGAACTGGCATTGAAATGTTGGGGAGTGACCTATTTTTTTCAAAACCGGGTTAATCCAAAGCAATTTTAAGGTGGGTGACTCATGCTGGTGCTTGGAGGAAGGACAAAGCTTTTAGCAGTTTAGGGACGTGAAATTAGAAGGAAATTAATGAATCAGGTCCAGTGCTTACACAGACATATTATTTAGTCTTTGATAAATTTAATGGTGTTAAATTAATTCTCTGATTGAAAAAGTCTTAATTCTGACTAAGAAATTAATGAACGGGCACAAGCTATACATTTTTTCCTGCACATTAGGTCATGGAGGAAAGAATGTCAGTCATACAAAAAATATAAGGAGAGGAATCAAGCATACCTCATGATCCTTTAAACATTCTCCAGATCCTCTCCATTTTTAATGCAAGCCACCCTCTGCCAATAACATAGTGCGGTAGGGGTGGATTAGAGGGCACAGATCAATCTCTGACTGAAATGTTAGAAAACTGCTTCTGTTTGTTAGACTGAAAACAACAGTAAGACTTTTCAAGGAGACTACATCTGTGTCTTGCTCCCATTTACAACAGCTACTCAACATGAAAGCCTAGATTAAGCCTGATCCAGAAACAAGAAAAGTTTATTCTCTCCCTGCTTGTGACATTTATAATTTATATCTATATACAATCCATCTGAATAATTCCATAGATTAGTTCCTATTTGCTCTCATGAACATTTAATGGGTTATTTTAGTGTGGACAGCAAAATACTAGGGTTTATATCAGGATCTGCTGGTAGCTGAAGACCTGTGGCAGAAGCATCTCTAATAGTGGTGCCAATTCAAACAAATAGACTTCAAAAGTATGTAAAATATGCTCTGCTACATCATTTCCTGCTTGTAAAAATAACTGGCAATCCAGCTTCAATAAACATGTCTGTGCTCTCATAATGGTAAAAATACCTGAAACAAACAGTTCACTTTTCCACTAACTGTATTTTTGAAGTCAAAATTATATTTCTGTGATTTAATAAGCTGAGGTACCTTTCAATGTCTTTTGCTAATCAAGCACATTGCTGATCTCAGAGTCAAATATCAATTTATATGTGATCATTTGTTTAATTTGAAGACCATTAATTAATAAATTAAGGGATCAAACTGAAGCCTTATCAACTCATGTACCTACATGTAAATCTACTCATGTACATGTATCGTGAGATACTATGACTTTCTAAGCATAGGTGAAAACAAACCTAGGAGAATTAAATATCTCAAAATAATGTTAAAAGTATAGCTATTAGGGTATGTTTGAGGATTTTTTTATTTCAGCAGTGAAGTTAAATTGCTTCGCCAGAAGGTGCCAGTCTTGATCCATAAAACAATGCAGTAATTGCATTTCTGTAAATTCCATTATAAGGATTTCAGTGGAAACTAAAGGCACAGAGTTCTGGTGTCAAAGAAGAAAGCAACTAATGAACTCTGAAGGCGGAACACTAAACAAACTCCAGAACAACCATAACACGCCATAACAAAACTAGGAAAAAGATTAATCATCCTTTGCTGATTTTTTACACTGATGTAAAAGTAATATTGTCCCCATGAAGGAGAAGATGGGGGAAATGGTAGGTAGTAGGTGGCATACACCGAAGATATTTGTCTCTTTAACTTCATTTGCTTTTCATTCTTATATTTTTTATTGTTATATTTTGATGGATGTGGAAGAAATGTGGATCGTTACAGGCAAGATGGCATAGACTGTGAATTAGTGAATTGAAAAAGCTTTTAGTTCTTGATCGAGCCACCAGAGACATGCATCTAACTGTCCACTGCAATATATGTAAAGTGATGTATCTTCCTTATGGATCCTCTCTTTGTTTTAGGTCTGTTGAAATATATACCTCAGGCCTGTGTGTTCTAAAACTGTTCAAATGTAGAGTGAACCCGTTTTCAACAATACTTTACATTTATCAAGGGCTGTTTTCTAGCCATGCACAAAAAATGTTTATTATTGCTAAATTCTTAGAACTTTGTTTATTGGAAAGTCATAATGGCACTCTTACATACCACATTTATGCAGTGCAGTATTTGTACTATTTTACAGTGGTATAGCTTCAAGACCAATTGTTTACCATGCCAATGGCTTGCCTGCTTTTACAGCCTAAATTATACTCTGGGACTTGCTCCTCGTTTTTTCCTTTCTGTGGATCAGGAGAAAGCAGTCTGCCTTAATGCAAGAATCGCTGAGCTATTTCTTGCACTGCTACTTCAGTCTAAGTGCTCTACTACCCTAGTGAATCGTATAGTGAAAATACCTAGGTAGACAAACAGATGCCAGAAATTTCCTATGATTTGGAGTCCATCACGTAGGCTGTCACAGAGTCTGGCAAAGGCTGAGAGTTGCAGCATACAGTAACAGCTTCATCCTGAATTTATTCCAGTAATTAGACTATCACAGCTACCGCATGTCATTTCCCTGATTAAAAAAATAGGAGAACAAGGGGCTGTGAAGAGAAGAGGAAAAAATATATTCATCCTATTTTCTCAGAAACATTGAATAAACCATGAGAAAATGGATCAATTTTTGTACTCCAGCAGTAAAAGAAATAAGAGGCTGTGAAAATAGCTGCTAAACATTAAAAAAAAAAAAAAGCAAACACAAAATACGTATCTGAGTGCTTAGAAATAGAAAGGATGGAGGCTAGTCTGGAAAACTAATTTAATTTGAGAATATAGTGACGCTGAAAGCAGTGTATTTGTCCTAGAACTTTATGAAATCACATGTTTAAATACTTTCCTGTGTAAATAACCAGGGCCAGGTCATTTAACAACTTTGTTATGAAACATCTAAAGAGCAGCAGGTGGTACTTCCCTTTGTTAGTGCTGAACTAATAGTCACGGCATGGTGTTAGGGGACGTAAGGTGCCTGGAGGGGCTAACTTTCAAATGAGATGTAAAATTGAAGCCCTCAGTAGTTGGAGCTCTGAAAGAACTTAAGATCTTACAAATGGCCTAAACAAATTCCTTCTTGAGTTTTTTCTCTTGCTTTCCTTTGTAAAGACACAGATGTGTCTGTGCGAATCCCTGGGTCTGTTAGCCTGGCCCAAACAACTTCTGACAAATATCTGCTAGTAAATTTTGGCTAAATTTGGCAGAGCAGGAGAGGTCTCAAATTCCCTATGCATTTCATGGTAATATGTGTCCAGGTAAGGAAAGGAGATCTGACCAACACTTGAATGGGGAGAAGAATTTAGCATCAACTTTGGGCTTATTTGAGGGGTGAAAGAGAGAATATATACTCATATCACAGGTAAAAAAAAAATTCTTTCTTACTAGACAACAGAGAATCAGCTCTTTAGACAGTACTTCTTTCCTGCGTGGTTTCTCTAGTGTCTAAAAATGCATGTCTTCTCAGTGAAGCTTTTCCTGTGCTTGTGGTAATCGTAACAGTTTTCGCCTCTGCAGATTCTCTGACATCTAATAAGAAGTAAGTTCCAATAGCAACCTCATTATAATTCACTTATAAAATAAATCAACCACGAGACACAAATCCATAGGAACCTAAGCTTCATTAATTCCACTTCCAATAGAACTATTTGTTTGCTTACCATGATTTCCCTGCAGTTTCAGCCGCTTATAGTTTTTTGCAACTTCCTGGGGCTTTGGCACATTTAATTAAACTTTATATAGCTCCTTTAAATTCTGCAGAAATAAAGGATCAGCACGTAAGTATTGCTTTGCTACTTACCACTGATTTCAATGGGAAAATTCAGGCAGGAAAACACTACTTATTATCAGATTGGGGCTGGGATTCATCTCACCAAACTTTGTGCATTTACAGTATAGATATTCACATCTGAGCTAATTATCTAAACTCCCTTTATAGCCGGAGGGAAAAAATAGACACTTCCAGAGTGTGATTCATCTCCTCCCAAGGTTGACATTGAAAATAGGCCAGATGAATCACCCTTTGGAAGTGCTCTTTTCTCTCCACTGACTATAAAGGGAGTTTAGACAACTATCTTGGATACAGATGTCTGCTTCTGCAGGAGTCTAGAGTTAGGTGGCATGGCAGAAGCTTATATGTCTAACCCTGCTCTGAATTTTACCAGTACCACTGTGGAGTCTCTAAATTGGAAGTAATAGTCTGGAATAACGATTATGGATCTTAGAAAGCACCTAGCTCTCAGAGATGCATTTTAACTGAAGTTTTAATGCAAACATTTGTGATTCAAGAAGCAACATTATCCTGTGAAATAAAATGATATTTATATTTCATCCCTGTGGGTGAAATGTATGAGCCATCATGGCATTTCCCATCTAGGGGAATAATTAGGCAATTGGGTTTTGGACCTCAGATTTGGGAGAACTGATATTGAATTTTTTGATCTTCTTTCCTAGCTGATTTGCTATGACTCAAATGGTTCAAGCTCATATATTTCTAGTAGAGCTCAAACTGGGGCATGAGTCTTTGGTGGTTACAGTTACTATGAATTACTTTGACTTTTCCCCTGTATTTTTCCTGTAAATAGAAGCTCACTATCTGAAGAATACAGACCTCTGTACGCATAGCCTCCTAAATGTTATTTTCAGTCCCTCTAAAAAAGCACTAAAGAAGCACTAAAGAGTACCAACTCCCTCTGGAACTCAAGGAAACAACTCATTTCAAAGTGCTAAGGTTCCAGTAAAAAAATTAAATCCTTATCTTTCATTTAACTAAGACCCCATTTTACAGCAGTGAGCAGGGAGATGGCTCTGTTCTCTTCCTGCCGCAGCATTCATTTCTGTTTTTATCTACCATACCAAAACATTTTTTGCCTCAAAAAGTGTAATCGATGCTATGCATTGCACATACTTGAAAATCTACTGGGTAGTACATTTTTATTTTGGCTTTGTTTTCAGTAGTTATCTTTGATTTATTCATCTTTTATACATTTAGGTTTATATTTAATTTTTATTTCTCTTATGACTTATGGAAAATGCTGCGGCATTACAGAAATTC